TAAGGCTGGCTTAAGACTTATGACCACCATAACTGCAACAGAATACATTTGTGTTGTTTTCGGTCACAAAGTTTGCGCTAATTTGTTACAGCAGCAACAGAAAACTAATACAAACAGTTACCTGGGTCCTTATTTATAACAAGACAGCTGACAGACTTTTCCTAGATCAGAAACTCTCAGCAGGGAACACATGGAGTTCTATAGTTGCCACATTATGTCAATGACTAAATTTATTTTTGGAAGTTATAATACCTTTGAGATAAAACTTTCCATCCCATATTTACATACTGACAAGCAATGTACCAGGAAAGGGCAATTATGTCGGTTGGGAACTAAACATGAATTTGGTATCAGTTGTTTAGATTATAAGGAAATAAAAGGAACAAATGTTCACATCACAAATATGATTTCTAAGAGCTTTTAAAGTCTGTTTCAAAACAGAAATAATTTTATAATGGCAACATTAAATATCTGTTGATAAATTACTTCAGTTTTTCATAGTACTAATTCAAAACAAATATGACCTGTGAATAATGGATGTATCTAGACCAGTAAGGACAGCTGTGGTTAATATATTGAATGTATATGACCTTTATTTATGTATGCAAACATATATATATATAGAGAGAGAGAGAGAGACAGAGAGAGAGACAGAGAGAGAGACAGAGAGAGAAACAGAGAGAGAGATCGGCTTTAGGAGTAAACATTCTTTTGAGACAGGGTCTCACTGTGTAGTGTAGGCTGGCCTTGAACTCACTTATGTAGCCCAGGCTGGCTTGAAACTCACGGTGGTCCCCCTGCCTCAGCCTTCCAAGTGCTGAGATTACAGGCATGTGCTACCATGCCTGGGCAGGGGTAAATTTTTTTGATATGTATGGAAAGTTAAAGATCCCTTTAAAGATTAATCTGTATAGTTTAATTTTTGCAGCTCCTCACATGGAGTATTACATCTTTTGGCTTTATGTGCTAGAAGACTTTGTATTTCTCCTTCAAATAATAATTCATATAATTTGAAGATGTTTCTATTTAACATTTTATCTATTTCTCTGGATATAGGATATGTGAGTTTAATGCTAAAGTTTGTTTTCAGATACTAAGTGATTCACATTCAGTACAGAAAGCGAAAAATGTTTATCTTTCTCGTATATACATTCCTACTCTGTTATATATGATTATATTAGGCATTCCATTTGGTTTCTGAAAAGGAAGTATATTTTTTCTAATGTTATAAAATTAAAATAAGAATTTTAAATATCCCAACAAGAAATGAAAGTAACACAAGAATATCTTAGCAGCGACTTATTACTTCTATCACTAAGACAAATCCTCTCTGTTTACAATATAGGCTTCTGGCATGGTAAAGGTATTGTGGGAACAATTCCTTTCTATATGTATTTTCCCAGTCAGGCTTAACTTTCTGAAAGCCCTGCCAATACATCTGGTCTCCTTGCTATTTATGCCCCCATCTCACTCTTCTGCTCCGGCTAGTGTGAAATATTAAAGCTTCTAGTGTACAGCATAGTGGTTGAGATCATAATGACAATGGCAGACATTCTCATTAATGAGATGGCTATGGGCCAGCAAAGAATGAAGAAGCAAAACTCTAAATTACATATCAAACTGCCCCTGAGATGATCAGATTAACTTCTTTGTGCCCAAAGTGGCTTACAATGGAGCTAGCACAAGGGAAGACTCCCTCCTCACGGTTTGTAGCATCTGCGAACATAGGGTAACATGCAAATATCTGAGGCAGGCAAGGAATGTGACTAACCGACCAACAGACTGCTTCATAACAGTTCTCAGTTGCATATATGTCCCTGTTCACATTGTAGTCTATGTTTTATTTGCAAAAAAATCACCAACTTTTAGGTAGGGATAGAAAGGAAGGCTTTAGTAGGTAAACAACAGATAAAAGTCCATAGTTATATGTTAGAAGAGATATCAACAGGGAAAGAAGGCTGTGGGTTATTTGAGTTTTTTAAAAAGTAGCTGGAAGTGTCTTTTTGGCTGGCATAGGACATGAGACATAAGGAAAGAAGAAAAGCAGGGAAAGCTCACATGTAAAAGAAAGTGAATATTTTTAATCCTGGATAAATCATGATAGATCCACATGCAACCAAGGTAGCAAGCCCCTAGTGAGGAAGGAATAGATTACAAAAGGGTGAAACGAATCAAGACCATGTTGAGCATCCCAGTGACAGTTCCCAGATGACACAAAAGGAAAGAAACTGATAAGGAAGGAGACGATAATTAGATATTGTAAGTTAGCTGAGACAACCTTCCCAGTACAACGTAAGTCCCACGAAGGTGGGAAAGAGCGGTATGCCCACGGCTTAATCCACAGCTGCAAGCATAGTGCCTGCTCATTAGTAGACACTCAAATATTCGCTGAATGAATAATGAAATGAATGATGGCCATCACCAGATCTGGAATTTCTTAGATTTGGGGCAGGGATCTGGGGTTATCAGCTTTATGAATAAATAAGGAAATCAACACTGTTTTATTATATCTATAAATATTTATAACCAGACCTTCCTAGAATGTATTTCAAATATTCCTATGAGTACTGATATTTGGAGGAAAGCATTGAATAGATGACATAAGTCAACCCTACTATTTTCCTTGATATTTGAATAAACTGCACTGTCATGTGCAATTTGAAGGAATAACTTCTGTCCTATTAAATCCCATAAGGGAGTCAATAGGATGCAGGATGTGGCAATTTTAGCTTATTATACAAGTGAAAGAAAGTAGTGATAGTTAAAACAGAATTCTAAACAGATGACCTGAGTTCACTCATTATTCAGAGCCTGAATACCTTGGGCCATGCTGTCAGTTATTTTACACATTTTTAAAAAAGTCTTTTCACCTAATGAGGTGGGCTGTAAATTGCCCGAGAATAAGGCAATTTGAATTTTGAAAAGGCAAAAATGCTAAATGATTAAAGAAAGCAGATACTGAAGTACTAGTGATGGAATCTGTAATGCAAAATTAGCACACCTGTCATTGCTTGGTGCTATGGCATCTTGAAATGCTAACAGGGTTGACAATGACAAGCCGTGCATCACAAAGACGACCAAAATGTATGTGCTTCATTCAAACTGCATCTTTCCACACTCAATGTGTTCTGTAACACTTTGTAAAACCTGAGTGTTCATGTCAAATGTAGGAACCTGTGGAACAGCTATGTAGAGAGAGCTTGTGCAGAGATTCCAATAGAGATGTCCTGGGTCATGTCTCTTTACTGTACATTATATATAGGATCACTGATATATGCTGCATGCAAGACAGATCAAGAAACACAGGTACAATGGGCAACTACACACATTAGTTTTGAGCTAATGAGATGACGCCTGCAATACAGATTTTAGGGAGTTGTCAGCACACAGGTGTTAGTGAAAACCACACAGAGGAACTTACAGTCTCAGCCATGGTGGACTAACTGGCACCAAACTTGTCCTCCTACTCTAACAATTAAAACGAACATCAGGTGATATATATGAAACCACTCTTCACATGTGTTGAACAATGGACAACATGGAACTATTACTCTAGGAAAAGAGAAATAAAACTCTACGATGGCCACAACTTGCTACCTAAAAACACATGCATGTATTACTCAGTTTCAGAAACGAAGTTCAGAGTTCCAGGAGGCTGACACAGCTAGAATTTCCAGGGCACAGTACCAGAGAAGGAGCTATGTAGATAAAGAATTCACAAAAACCTACTTATAGGTCTCCTTGAATCAGTCACCGAACACAAAGCTGTAAGGGAATAATAAGCCTAGGGTAAAACACAGGCTGGCCAAAAACCACCAGGAAACTTTAAGGCAGAAGATTCCCAAAATTCACAGAGCTGGGAGATGTCTGTGTTTTAATCAGTAAGAAAGATAAAAAAGAAAAGGCAAAGCCTTACTAGGAGGTCTGAACTAGCCAGTAAATACTCTATGTTTGGCCACATAAAGCTTATAAAGAAGCCTTGAATGGACTGAGCTGATCCACAGATAACTGCCTACCATGCAAAATTTACTACTCCTTTAAAGAAGTCAACAAAATCAAGACACTCAATAAGTCATAACATCCAGGATGCAATAAAGATAACATATCACATGGAAAATGTGGCTCATAACCAGAAAAAAAGTCCACTGATGAAAAACATGGAGAAAAAGAAGTAAAGTGGAACTAAGATAAGACTCGCGGAAACACCCAGACATGATTTAAAAGACAAGAAGAAGAAAAGGATCCAGAAAGAGATACCAACAAGGAATAGTGCAAGACATTAGAAGAATGAAGACACAATTATGTTATGCAAGTCAAGTGAGAAGAAAGTTCTCCAAAAGGAAGGAGTTATCAACAAGGAGATCAAGTGAGAGAATGAAGAGCTCTCACTGGATTTGACAGGATCTGCTAAGCACGGCCAAAAGTCTAGGTGAAGGCATAGAGACAGAAGCCAGACATCAAAAGGCACTGAGGAGTGAAAGGCATAAGAGGAAGGAGAGATGACAACCACCTCTTCAAGGCAAGACCGTTTCTCACTCAGGGTGGGCAAAATATGTCTACATTTAACCTTCAAAAGTATTTTTATACTTTTGCTAAAATAAAGGGCGGGGATATAGCTCAGCAGCACAAGCGCCTGCCTGGCAAGTGCAAGGTCTTCAGTTTGATTCCCAGTACCAAAAAAAAGAAATATTTTTAAATCCTCTATAGGTGGGGCAGCACGTGCGTCTAAGTCCCAGCTACATGAGAGACTGAGGCAGGAGAATCACTTGAGCTCAGGAGTACAAGATCAGCCTAGGCAACAGATGTATTTTAGTATATATGCTGCAGAAACAAGCATGTGGGCAACAGACCTAAATCTTGGCTCAAAAACAAAAACAAACAAACAAACAAACAAAATACATATATATATTCTACAACCTTCCATAACAATGTCTCTTTTATCTCCCAATCACATTTGTTTCTAACACATAAACTACTCCCAATAAGAATTAAAATGTTACCAAAAAAGGCATTTAGTAGCTTCTGAACTTGAATATTGCTACCCACGGTGCGGTATAACCCTTCGGTCTTGATCCCTAGGGAAAGAAAATCAAAGTCAGCTTTGTTTACACAGCTAGAGTTTTCAATTCTCTCAGGGTAGAAAAAGGAAGTGCTTGTAGGAAGGAGTCAGGAACTCCTTACTCTCTTCAAGTTCTCCACCCTTCTTTTGTGACAAGAGAACACGACTAAAACACTTCATAATCAACCATGCTTTTATTTGGACTGTTCCAAGCCACATCAATCCGAACAGAAGAGAACACGTTCTGTGGTAAGTAGAAGCGTGTGGTTAGGTGGGTGGAAGCACATCGCTGAGAACAATGCTGCCATGTTGCAAAGGAGTCAGGGTTTAACTGAAAAAAGAGGAAATACCAACCCTTAAATTGCTTCCAAGCAGTGATAGAGGAGGAGAGGGCCAGAACATAGCAGATGTAAAAGCAAAAGGCCATTTCCTGAGCTGAGAAAGGCTGGCACAACATTTTAAAGTAAAAAGATTAGCCTATATATTAAGCCCAGGCATATTCCAAATACTCTCAGAGTATCTTGAATCAGGGAAGTATGCCGATTCCACACATGCCTGAGTTTGCCTTTCTACCCATCAGTTTTTAAATCGATATATACTGTGGCATAAATTGAACTCTGGTTAGGGTAGAACCATCATGACACTGCTAGAGGAGTAATTTGTACCATTTCAGACTAATTTATAAACCACTTAACATTCTGTCTCTTTAAAAGCAAGAAACTATAACTTATCCAAGTATGTTTAGATACTACTGGTTTGGTGGCGCATGCCTGTAATCCCAGTACTCGGGAGGCTGAGGCAGGAGGACAGCTGCGAGTTTGAGACCAGCCTGGGCTACAAAGTGAGCTCGAGGCCATCCTGAAACGCACAACGAGCCCCTGTCTCAAAAAGATTAAAAAAAAGAAATCTGCTAAAATTTTACAGATTGTGTTCACTGCACAAGGTTTATAGACAATCACCATTATAAAGATGAGTCCTGCCCAATACATATCATTGCCCCCTTAGAGATATTGTCCCAGACCAAACTGGAGTGACTAGATTCAAACAGTGTCAAGACTGTGGTTCAGACCTTACCTTTGGTCTCAATGATATTGATGCACTTTCTAACAAACTTGAACCCCACTTCATTCAGCTCCACTGTTTCAAGCAAAGGAAAGCACAGTTAGACCCTACTGCAACAAGTGTAACCTACCAAAGATTTAATGACCACACGAAGGGACTACCGGGAGGGAATGAGGGTTAAACTGCTTATTGCCAATCACCCTTACATGGAAAGATCCTTTTATTCACAGGAGGTTTAAAGTTTTAACTCTTGGAACACAAAAAATATTCTTATTTAGCCCTTTGCATTTATGTGTGTTTTAAGCATGAGCAACATCAATATGAAATATTAGCCTAGAGATGCAGGCTAACATCTATTTCTATTGTATGTCTAGAACAAGAAGGACATAATGTGTTTATCTGTATTATCACCAGAAGCTAAGATAACGTGACTTCTGTAGTTCAATCAACAGCTGATTTTAAAAACGGGGTTGAATTTCATTTCACACAGAGGTAACCATATACAGTCATGCATCAATAGTACATATCATTAATGACAGCATTGACCATGACTGGAAAAGCCCACAGATTATAATGTCAGCAGAGCAGAAATTTGAATGACTTACTTTCTTCCTGTTTTGTTATGGGGCTGTGGTATATCTACAAAAAGAAGAGAAACAGAATGTGCCATGGCTATTGTGAATCACTACAAGTATGGAGGGCAAATAGTATTAAATCTTTCCTGAGCTAGCCCATCAAAATCGTTAGATCCTCTAGGGCAGTGCTGGTGAATCTTTTAGAGACGAGTGCCCAAACTGCAACCCAAAACTCGCTTATTTGTCTCTAAGAGTCAACACTGCAATTAAGCCTGAATACTGAGGTTTTAGTTTAAAAAGAAACAACTGGTACATTAACATCTTTTGTCTTAAAAAAAAAAAAAAAACAAATAACACACATACCATAAATTTGCCACCACTGCTCTAGGGTCATAAGAAGGAAAATTGGTCCAAACAGATTCATCATGCTCACAGTCCTATAAAACAGTTTCATGATCCCTGAAAACTACACTGGGTTTCATTTAGTTCACTGCAGTGGAAAATGTGCCCAATCCATCTTAGACATTTACTTATGTAATACTTGGATCATTTTTATGATGGAACAAGAGAACATACGTGAGGGATAATTGGCTTTCTCGTGGACACTGGAGTAACAGGCATAAAAGTTAAAATTTAAGTGTTTCAATAACAATCTCCTTCCCTAAATACTAGTTAATGGATGCTTCTCTTTGGAAAGGCCAGAGTCCATCTGAATGAGGTCCTTGTATTTACCAAGATTTCTCCGTGTTGTCTTGAAGTAAGCATTACGATTGCTGTATATGAGACCAGAAAGGAGATTCCTGAAATCCAGTCTTGGCTCTACCTTTGTTTCACTAAGGCATGCCTTCTTCATTTCCTAGATTTCAAATTTTCTACTGATAGAATTATCAGTAGGATTGGAGTAGATGTTTCTTAAAGCCTTGATCTTCTCTGACACTCTAAGCAAAAGCATGCATGTGATATGTAACACCAGTGTGTTGGAGTGTATAGTAAAACAACAGCATTAGCAATTAGAGGCTGCAGAAAGAAAAGTGCTCTATATGCCATCTGTTCGAATCTGCTTTAACAGCCTCTCCCTTTAAAGGAATATTTTCTATGTATGTGTGCACGCCTATGAGTACTTCAGTGAGTTTTTCTGCACTAGCCGGCCTTCAGTGCCACCTTTATAAACAAGAGCCTTGTGAAAAGTCTGCCATGATCAAGCTGGTGAAGTTCCATATCAGTGGGCTCATATTCTAACATCACCCTCCACAAAGAGCCATCTGTGTCCTTGGATGTATTAAAGCCTACAGGGAGAGCAACTTCAGGACAGGGAAGCAAGAGCTAAATGCTTTGCTGTGCCACTTTGCATCCTCCTAGAGAAATATCAACTTTATGTAAGAGCTAGGCATCAGGTTTCTGGGTGGTTAAATGCCAAAGCTACACTGAATAATGTCAGAACCAGGATGCGGATCCAAGCTTTTGTGATTCTAATGCAAGGAAGCTAATATTATTTCATATGCCAGTAAAAGAAACCTAGCAGAAACATATTGAAGAGAGACTTTTTCAATTATTCTGACTATTCATATTAATCTTTCTAGAACAGTCATTAAGCCCTTTAAGGGATCATATGTCTACCTGCCTAAAGTATTCTAAGTAGAGTATCCTGGGATACAGGATGGCAACTCCATCTCCTTCACCAGATCAACCCTGAAAAAGAATAAACTAACGTAGGGAGTATAAGAAAGAAAAGGTCATTTTGTATAAAATCTTAATAAATGCTTATTCACAGCCATGACAATTGTTTTCCATCCATTTTTAAGAACATATATTAATTTTATAATCTGAGAAAAGGCTAAAGTTAAAGTCAAACACTGGATCATAGGGAAAATACCTTGCCCTCTCTAGAATAGGTTGCCTTACCTATTAAAAGATATTTCTTATTTAGGAAAAAAAAAGCTTGCAGCTTGCAGCCCACATTCATTTAATTTTCAGCAACAGAAAATTACTGTACTTTGTAAACACAAATACCACTACCAAAAATAGAAAGCTAGAAACAGAACCATGTCTTTTATTTCTAAAGACTATTGGCACATCAGAATGATACAAAATAATAAAAACAAGATAGTTTGTGGCGAATTTTGGAGGTAAGTTTAGGACTATAATCCATGAGCTATCTCATGGTAAATACTGCAGCTACAAGTACCACCAGCGAATATTCTCAGAGCAATGAGGAAATTAGCTTTAAAACATTCACAACAGGGCCATGGTTTGTATGTCTCACTTGCCAGGCAGCTTGAATCACCAGTGGTAGATGGATGACTCTATCAGGCAGCTTTTTATTAATTTTATTAGAAAAAAACAGTAAAGGTGATTAGACTCGTTTGTACTGCCGGTGGTACAAGTCCCCCAATGGGGTGGTCATGCACACGCCACCCGTGGATCAATGCAGCAGGAACGCATTAAATAAGTGATGTGGAAACCATAATTCTTTCCAGCTCTAACATTCTGAATTGAAAGAATCTGACCATTTAATTGTGTTAAGCCCACTAGTACCAGTAGAGGGCAATCATATACCGACCTACGCTACTGAGATTTCCCCAGTTCTGAGGAAACTTACAGGTTCTTTCCCATCCATGGCCTCCATCCATAGCCTTCTGTTAGCTTCTGAAAGAGCCTGCAATGTGATGGTTCCTGGCCTAAAGAAAAAAAAAAAGGCAAATTAAAAACAAAAAGTTCACTCAAGAGAATGGAGTCTTGCGGTCTACAGTTCCTACTTCCCTGGAAAGTGACCCACTGAACAGTCACCAAGCTATGGAATTCGAAGTTCTCAAGACTCTCTTTGAACCAGAACACTAATGGGTAATTTGTGGAGAACAGGAACTTTGCAGACCCTAGGGGAGGTGATATTTTGGTGGTCAGATGTCAGGGTCAGGCTAAGAAACAGGAAGGTGGATCTCAAGACATCTCACCATAATACACACATAAAATTGGCTCTTGTGCTTATGCCAAACTCAGACTCTCTCTACCTCCCTCTCTTTGGCAGCCAGCCACTTGGTCCAGGCTCTAGGGGTGAGTATATACATCACAGACACATTCACCTGTCAAGAAAATGGCTCTGCTCCTACCACCTAGGATGTCCAGGAAACATTTCCAGTTGGAAATAACTCAGCAACATGCAGACTGGCTAAGTCACAAGGAGGAGGTCTTTTGGGTGACAAACATTCCAATGATTAACAACAACAGCTAATATTTCTCAAATGCTCACTAGGTGCAGGGTTCTGTTCTCAGTGCTTCTACATATACCAATTCATTTAATCGATCCAAAGAGTCTATGAAACAGTTGCTACTATAAGTACCTCCATTTCAAAGGGGAAACTGAAGCATAGAGAAGTTACCCAAAGTAATACAGCAGGTAAGTGGTAGACAAAAGTTTTAACTCTAGAAAGTGAAGTTCAGCAGTCACAATCTTAGCCACTACACAATAAAGCATCTTCTGCATGGCAGATGGCTTCAAACTGAATTGTGTCCTATTTGCTTGTAGCTTACCTTCCATAGCCCAACTAGCCCCCTAAATTCATGTACTGAAAGATAATTACCAGTGTGATAACATTAAGAGCTGGGATCTTTAGGAAGTCATGAGACTGAAGCCCTCTGGGAGGGCATGAAGGACCTTATAAAAAGGCTTGAAAGAGGGTATTTGTTCCCTTCCATTCCTTCTGCCAAGTGAAAATAAAGTATGCGTTCTCCCTGGAGGACAAAGTGACAAGGCACAGTGTTGGAAGTAGAGACTGCACCCTCACCGGATACTGAGCCCGCCAGCACTTGATCCTGGATTTGTAACCTTCAGAACTGTGAGAAAGGAATTCTGTTGTTTCTATATGTATTGCCAAGTTTCAGACATTTTGTTATAGCACCAAAAATGGGCTAGGACCCTATCTATACCCATATACGACCCAAGGAGGTATATCCTTTATGGTCATTTAGACCTTCACAAACAAACTGGAAACTGGGGTTTGACCATGCCACTCCAAGAATGAGGTCTCCTTGGCTAGCTGTATTGTTATGAGAACCTTGTTCGTCTCACTCCTTCTATGATAAAATGGGACCACGCTCAGGGACACAAAATGATTAGAACAACGACAGGAGAGTTTCGAGACCCTGGATAAGTAACTGGACCTTTCTGGACCTCCATTTCTTTATTTCTAAGAGTGCTAGAGCACACAGGTCAGGAGGTTCTTTGCAACTGACTTGGGATTTCTGTTCTACCTGCCCTCCCATCTCTTACCTCATTAAAATAAGACACTCTTTAAATGGAAAGCTAAATCTCCTTTAACATGCAATCGACTGAAAATTAAGACTTGGCTCTAGAAACTGGATTCTTTTGAAACACTCATCCTCTTTTATATATCCTTTAGGACTAGAAAGGCCAGCGATCTTTATAAAGACAGTTACCCATCTGAATCCCAAAGCAAAAAGAGGAGAACAAGCAAGCCAACAACAGACATAGAAGCAAACGCTGCAGGCCAGATATGCTACTAAACCCCTTGGGAACTCAGCTTCCTCAGCTGGGAAATTGCAAAGCAAGTGTGTGTGAGTCTCTTCATTTGACCTGCGGGGGCTGGCAGTCTAAATAACCAACTATTGTAGGAGCATTCAGAGACTCATGGATGCTACAGAAAGTCAAATTCAAAGAAGAATATTGCTAAGAAAAGGATGACAAAGAGGAAAATGTACTAAGTTGTAGTCCAGGCTCCTCCATTATCTTTATGACCTCAGACAAATCATTTGCCTTCCCTTAAGTCTCACTTTGTCATCTGGAGTCAAAGGCGTACCAGGCATCTCAGCAACACGGTTAAGAGGGTAGCCCTGGAAATTTGAATGCCTGGATTTGGACCCTGGCTCTACCACTGAATTAGTGATGTAACAAAGTTGCTTAACTTTTCTCTGCCTCATTGTCCCTTGTGAACTGGGGATAACAGCAGTCCCTACCTCATGTAATTGTGGCAAGGACCAAAGGGAATTAATTATATACTTACAGGGCTGAAAACAGGTAGTACTCAGCAAACACTAGCAGTTGTTATTTTGTTGCTAAGGTTCTTTACACTCTGATGAACTATGAGCTATGAGCTATGAGCTATGAGCTATGAGCTATGAGCCTGTGGTTTAAAACACTGGTAGAAATGCTAAATTTAAAAAATAAAATATTACCCTCTCTTTCTGAAACAGAAGAAGGGACTCAGAGACTAACTTCTGCACTGTGCTCCAGGAAGCACGAATAAAGGTGTGTGACGCCTGCGGGGAAGCCTAACTCTGTTCCTTATATCAGTTTGACTAGCTAGAAAAGGAGACGCCGCAAACCTCAGAAAGTTGCATGTGCATAGAGGGGCTTCAACAACTACTCATTATTATATTTAATACTCAGTTTCACACAACGCCTATTTTACTTATGATAAACAATGGAAAAAAATAACAAGGGGCATGGACTTAAGAGACCTCCAGACCAGGGCTTGAGCTAAACCTCTCCACTTACTACATGTCTTTCATTGGGCAAGTCAGTTAAATATATTTGGGTCTCAGTCTCCTCACCTGTAAAATGGATTTGGGGAATTAAATAAGGAAATTTTTGTAAAGTGCATAGTATGTGATAACTAAAATCATGTATGGGTCAAAATTTTAACTGTTGAGTTCTAGTCTCAAATTTCCTCACCATTCTGGGGGAAGAAGAAAACCTGTTTAAAATTAACACCAAATTTACTACCTACCATAAGCCACACAGAGCACAAATTGAAAGAAATAGAAAAATCAATTGGTTTCGGCCCCTAAACTCAGGGTGAAAGCATTTGAATCTCCTTTGGGTTAGGGATATTACTTCCAAGTAGCTGACAAGGGAACTAAACTGAAAAGGGAATCAGAATGGAATTAGATCTAAGAAATTTTAATCTATTTTCAGCACCTTGATACTGTATAACCAGAGACACTATACATTCATGAAAGGAAACCAGACCCAGTAGCTATTTTCCTCTTTTTTCTGGCTATGATACTATCAGAAAAATGAGTGACAATCTCATGGTTACTGGCAAAAGTTATTACTATCAGTTATCTTGATTGGATGTACCCATTTTTTAACAAGGAAGTCATATAGATCCACAAATTAAAATGCTGAATGCCAAAAAAGATTTTTCCAATTTTTAAAATAGGAAAACAGACTAGTTCTTACTTCCAGACAAGAAAATTGCCTTCATCTCTTACTCTATTCTTTGTGATCTCAGTTACTTACGGTTTTGCTCATATATTGCAATTCATATACAATTTGTGGAGCTCGTTTCTAGCAATCTGGTCCTGCTATTAAATTCTACTCTATTAACTCAGTGCCTAATATATAGAAATAATAGATTAAAATAAAATCAAGATACACATTCATCCATTCAATTTTGGATCAACCTCCCAAATATAAATTATGCCTTTCTCCAAAATAATGCTAAAGGCTCCCATTTTTAAATTTAAAGGTTAAATTCTCGAATAAAACTGTTCAGGTTTGGGGAACATAAAAGAAACCTTTAGAAACAATGTAACCAAGTTCAGAATTTATAAACTGTACCTCTAGCATCTGTGTGAAGAAACTAGTTCACACAAGTATCTGGCAAGTGGGGAAAGTCTGTATCATTTTTGCACCACACAGGGGAAAAACAACTCTAGGAAAGGACATCCACCCCCCACGCCATTTGCCTTCCCTCAACAATGCATACCAGTGTACTTGCTCTTTTATATTATAATAAAGAGATTTTAAAAGAACAGATTTTGTTAGCTTGTCCTTTTCGCAGCATCTCATTTTGTATACGTGACATCAAATTAAATCCGAGGGGGACTTTTCTGCCTAGGGCAGATGAGGCAGACCTGGAGGCACGGGGGAAATCAGCTCTGTGTCACGCCTGGCAGGGACCCTGTTAAGGGCAGGCAGAAGAGCCAAGACAACGCTGTCTTGCATAGATTTGCTCATTTTCAACAACAGGGAATGACAGGAAAATAAAAGACCTACCTAGGCTCAGCATCTGGCATGTGTGGACACTGCCAATTCATAGCAGTGAAGCTTACCTTTCATTAGTTTCTATATCAAAACAGAACCTCTTGTCGATAGACTCTGTCTTCCTTCTCACACAGTACTTCAGGGTTAAGTCCAAGGGCCCCTGAGATGAGAGAGGGATTAAGATGCAATTTGAAAAAATGCACAGAAGCTTCTTCTACCTCCCAGTGTCCTCAGTGTCACTTGGAAAGCATAAGCCAAGGCAGCAAGAGCAATGTGTAGACTCACTGAGAACCCTGTCCAACCAAACAGTACTTGGGGCAAGATGGCAGATGATTTCTCCATGCTCCAAGAATTAATGGCTCGCAACAGGAGAAAATGGGCAGAGTAGGCCAGCTCTCCTCCCTTAATGACAAATTAATCAGAAAACTCAAGGCACATCACATAAGGGCAGTGTAGAACGAATGGATTGCCTCGATGGCATTAAGTATACAGAATAAAAGTTTCATAAGGTCTTTGGTAGGAAGGATGCAACAGGCTTTCTGAAAACATCCTTAAAAAGTCAGAGGGAAGTTGAACAACGAAGCTTCCATTAAAGTGACAGATGGAAGGGGGAAAACAAACATTTCTGTTCCCTGCTTCAGCCTCTTGAGGATGATAAGACTTATAAAATGGAACTCCTCAAGGACATGGACAATGTCTTATACCTCTAGTGCATAGCAAATAGATAGTGTTCAGTAAATATTTATGAACTAAATCATCACCCTTGCCACTTCTCTGATGAGGAAACTGATATTGAGGAATATACAAGAATTTAACCAAGATAAAAAAAGAAACTAGACCCCAGAGCTAGGATGTAAAACTCATCCCTCAAGAATAAAAAAGTGCAACATTCTTTCTTCTTACTACAATTTCTAACATGGAAGGGATGAGGATCTACTAAAATACTATTTGAGAGGTGATCAGTAAAATGAGCAGTACAACACAAATGAGAAATGATAGGCTGAGCTAACAGGACACTGGTAAGGGAGAGAGTCAGAAAGATGGTCAGTTCTTCCACCTTTAAATTGGGTGTATGACAGTGCAAGATGCTGCTGAAAGATTAAACAAGGCGCAAGACAGAAACATATCTGACTCAGTGCTCGGCACCCAGTTGGCATTCAAGAAATAGAGCTTTCTACAGTACAATGATAGCTTTGTTATTTATATTATTTACATTTCAGGAGAAAAAGTAGTACTAGGAACTCAGTTGGAGAACTGACAAGAAGAAATCGTTTCCAACTCCAATTTGCAGAAGTTCAAATAACTACTTCTCCCCTTCCACCCTCTGATCCTGCCTAATGAATGGGAAACCAAGTTCCTCTTTCCACGCCATACAGAATCCCACATGAAAACTGCTTACACTGACACTACTGCAGTTTTGCAAGCAGTCACCCACTGCAAATGAAAGAAGAAAAGAAAACCAAAAGGAAGCTTTACTCTCATCTGCTACGACGAAAGAAAAGTAGTGTCTGTGGAATTTATTCTGGCTTAGCAATATGTACTTCCGAGGAGGAAAGAAAGGATCTGAATGACATTACTGACTATAACAGCAGTTATAATACCCAAGATTTAGAATGTAGTATGTGTGGAAATATAAAAGGAAAAGACTACAGGACACTGGTGCTCAGAAGCACTTGCCAATCAAATACATCAGCTACTTTCTAACTGACTTGGGACCAACTGTATGGTGCAGCACAGGGTGAATTCATTGGAAGCCTGCTGAGTGGCTCTGTGACAACTGGCAGGCTGGAAAGTGAAGACTGTTTTGAACTCATGGACGAGTAAAGTCCAATGACAGAAGCATAGACAAGGCTTCTAGAAAACCCTGTTTGGTACATTTCACTAGAAGTTCATCTCATATCCAACCCACATTCAAGAGAGTGACAAATCTTGTAGTTAAAGACCAAAGAAGTAACCTTCAATAGCATGCAACCAGATCTCAGTCCCCTCTAAATTTATATGAATGAGTCACATAAGAGAGATCTTCCATGGAAAGCAGAAGCAATGAAGGGAAATTTGCCCAATTTTTCTCCAAATCCGCAACTACCTAAATTGGGTCTTCATGTATTACTGTCAGTACTAACCAGTGAATCTAAAAGCATTGCTAACAGCTTATAAACACTTAAAACCATGCGCTCAGAGCCTGTATGAGAGCAAGCTAAATGGAAAAAGACACACTGAGCCACTATTACAATATTAACAACCCATCTGATGATCAACTTTTACACTTAGATATATGGAGGGGTATATAAAAGATCAGGTTTTCACAGGTCAGTAAACTACCTTTTCAGTGTGTTAAGCTTTTCTTTCCATTATGAAGAGTGGATGGAAGTTTGAAGAGAAGCAGAAGAGAAATGATTTGCTTAAAAGCATTTGAGTACTGCCCAGCTTCTGAGTATAGGTTATCTTAACTTTAGGCAATAGACATATACTTTTTAAAAAATAATTCTGGAAATTGATGTTTTTAAGCTTCCTACTTAAACAATTCTATAGTAGAGCCTTCTTAAGAGCAATGCATCCATACTTTTGCTTATTTTCTTTGTAAAGTGTGACAGACAAACTATAACGCTAAATGGTCAGAAAGAGTACAGGCATTTTCAAAAGGTCTCATGCAATTCACTGAGCGATTATGTATTTAACTGGGTGGTGTCTGACCCAGTGCAGACTGAGGCCAAGGAGAACATACACAGTCATGGCTTCACGTAATCGAGTTGGGCTTGATTATTTAACACCATTTCAACAGACGTTCTTCTCTGAGCTACAGTCGAAAATGCATCTCCAAAACTGTCGGCATACACAACCACTGACCTGCTTGGCACCTGGCTTCTGTTCCATAGGTGTCATAGTGAGCGTTTTAGTTTCTTTCTCATAACGGCAATAGTACTTCACCCAGGATATTCCCAAAGCCCCTACAAAGACAAAGGGAGACAGATTAAAAGCTTCAGCACACTAAGGCAGAAGCTGCTTATAGCTTGTTCTTCACGGTCAAGCTCTAGCTCCAGCCCTACCCTTCCCCTCAGCCTGTCTTACCTAACCACGTGTCCACAGAACATACACAGGTGTTAACCATTGCTAACTGCTTTCCAAATCTGCTCCTGGCTTGCCCCAAACCCATTCTCCTTGCCATGTTCTCTATGAATGGAAACCCCATACATCCCAAAAGCTGGAAAATTCAGTCATCTGCCCCTTTCTCTGTAACTAATCTATTTGACTGGTCCCTGGGTTGGACCACTTTTGTCACCTACAAGTCTCTCCATCTCTTTCACTTTCAGCAAGGAATTAAAAACATTGCTGTCTTTTCCAAATGTTTTATGAGCTATTTCAAACAAAAAATTCATTATTTTTCCCCTTAATTGTTTTAGTGGACTTTTTCTCTATTTCCGGTCAATCTTAACCAGTTTATTATTCATATATTTGGTAGGGGAATATTAGTTTAAAGATACAACTCTACTTCAATGCCAGTGGCAAACTAATGACCAACTGTACATTGATACAGCCTTTCCAGGACCCAGAATCAAGAAACCTGGAAAATAACAAATTGGAGAAGAGAAACACAAAGAAATTGATACCTAGGAATTGGGAGGGAGGTGACAGGAAAATCAGAAATGCTGAGAAAAGAACGGAACAGTATGGAGAGCTCACACTGTTTCCAGGAGGGGGAAGCTGTCTCTTCCTACGCAAGGTAAGCCCCCAGGTTCAGGAGCTGCAAGGAGAAAAATGGACCTGGCTGGACTTCAGTGTTAGCCCCAAGAAAAGCTTAAGACTGTTGCAAATTGCAAAAATAGAGTGCAGTTTTACTCTGAAAGTGAGTCCTTCAACATAGCAGGCTAGAGTTGAAGAAATCAAGTTCAGTGCCTGCCATACTTGGCAGGGGTTAATGAGGAGCCATTTTGGGAAGTGCTTAATTGTTTATGACTGAGCCACAAAATAATTATTAAGCAACTTCACTTCAGAGCTTATAGTGTAATCCTACCACATAGACTGAGTGGAAAATGGCCACAACAGGCAGTCACAAAGACCGTGTAGGCTAGATATAAATCTAAGAAGTTTAAGCTCAGGCCAGGAAGGCATGGTGGCAGTAGGGGTGGGAGACATTGCCCATGGCTGAGAAGCAAAGTGTAGTGTGTGTGGCTCTCAGAGGTGGCTGGGTATGAAAGTGAGACATTAAGCTTGAACTACTGCCCCTACTGCCAATACCCAGCACAGAGATCAGAGGTCTGATTGCTTTCCCCATCTATCAAGATAAGCAAGGACACAACTCAGTTTGGACAGTTGTTACAACCTGGGGTGAGCAAACGCAGGAACCTCTCTGGCAGTGGAGTGGGGGGCACCTCACACATCCAATGGCCATAAAGCTAGCACGGAAAAGCATGACTGGGGGATGCATAAAAGGGCACACAAAGGAGGAGCTGCTGGAGTGACTATAACTTTATGGCTGACAATGCTGATTAAGAATGACCAGCAGAAAACGCAAGGTGAGATTTAGCATTCACATACAAGAACATGAACATGAAAACAAAATAGGCCCTGGGAGAGACTTATTATCCCTCCCCCACATCTGATGGATTTAGAGACTGCAGATGCTGGGAAGAAACCACTCATTCAAAAACACAAATGAATATTATTTTGGATTTCTTTCTTGTTTATTTTCTTCTTTTTTTGTGGCTTGGGGTTTTTTGTTTTGCTTTTTGTCTTGATTTCTTTTTTTATTACTTTTCTCTTTTTCCTTTCTCTTTTTTCTTTTCCTTTTCTTATTTGTTCTTTCCTATAACTATACATTTACCTAATTCTATTAATTTCATTTTCCTCCTAAACAGGGCCCTTCAGCTCATTATTTTCTCATTTCCAACAGAATAAATGAAAAATGGCAAATTTTTATGACAAAGAAGACTAATCTAAGTTTAGTTAGAATTAGTGAAAAATCAGATGATAACACAAATGGAATAAAATGCCTGTGTACAAAATGCCAAAAAATTTTCCAAATATGGTAAAAGAATTATAAGGCATAGAAAACATCAAATAGCCATGATCAAAAAAGAAATTCTCCACAACAAATTATACTCAAAATCTCAGAATTTAAAAACAAAGACAGAATCTTAAAAGGTTAGAGAAAAGCAAGAGATGACTTATAAATTGAAACCCTTCCAAAGTACAGCAGACTGCTCAACACAAACTATACAGGTCAGCAGAGCTTTGAGTGAAATATTTCAAGCCCAAAAAGTAAACTTCAAAACTACACTGATACTACCTTTTATAACTGATGAAGAAATAAGGTCTTGTCAGGACTAAGAGCACCTTAAAAAATTCATGACCACCAAAACAACACTCTAGAAAATTCTCGAAGAGATCCTAGAAAGACATAATGTAGATAACAGAAGGAGAAAAAAGAGATCAGTAACATAAAATGCTGCAGTGACAACAATAAGTCAATACCTCTCCATAATAACTCTTTATGAATAATAACTCCATAATAACTCTCAATTCCGCAATTAAAAGACACTGATTGGCAGGATAGAGAAAAAAATAAAGCCCAACACAATGCTGAATAAAAGAAACACATTAAATCCAAAAAAGTTCATAGATTAAAAAGCAAAGGATAGAAAACAATATTCCATGCAAAAGAAAACATGAAAAATTGAGGAGTAGTTATCCTATTTTCAGACAAAATGAACTTTAAATCAAAACTAATCAAAAGAAGCAAAGAAGGTCACTATATAATGGTTAAGTAAATGATTCAATGGGAAGAGATAACAGTTATAAACATATTTACACCGAAAGCAGGAATAACCCATTTCATAAAACAAATGGATATAAAAGATGAGAAAAATATTAACAAAATTATAGTGGGGCACCTCAATACCCTACTGTCACAAACAGACTGGTGAATTAGACAAAAAAAACAGTAACAATATAAAGAGTTGAATCAAACATTTGAACAAATGGGCTCAACAAATATCTAGAGTGTTCCACCCAAATAACAACATAACACATTCTTCTCAGCAGCACATGGAACTTCCTTCAAAACAGACTATACATTAACCCAGAAAAAATGTTTGCATAAATACAAAAAAATGAAAATAATGCCCTACATACTACAGACCACAGCGCAATGAACCTAGAAATCAGGGGTAAAAGAAAACAAGGCGTTTCTAAGCAAATGAAATTTTAAAATGCAGTCTTAATTAAGCAGTGGGTCACAGGAGAAATTAAGGAATAAAGACAGTTCCTAGAATCAAATAATACCGCCACTAAAACATACCAGAATTTAAGGAAACAATGAAAGCAGTCCTAAGAGGTATGCTTATTTTTGTGAATGTTCATATCAGAAAAGAAAAGGGATCACACATAAGTAACCTAATGATGCACCTCTAGCCCTTAAAAACTAAGAAAAATCCAAATCAGAAGCTAGTATAATGAAGGAATTTATAAAGACCAAAACAGAAATTAATGAAGTTGAGACTAAGGTAATACAAAAAAAAAAAAAAAAATCAATGAATCAAAGACCTGGTTCTTCAAAAAAAATGAACAAAATTATTTTGGTAAGACTTTAGCCAGTCTTACCAAAAAAAAAATATTAAAGATCCAAATCACTGGAATTGGAAATAAAAAAGGTTAAATCACAAAGGAAACTACTGAAGTCCAGAAGATTATTAGTAACTACTTTGAAAACCTATACACCAATGAATTGGAGAAACCAGAAGAAATGGATAGAATCCTAGATTCTTAGATACATGTAAATTAACAAAACTGAACCATGAAGACATAAAAACTCTGATTAATCCAATAATAGGCAATGAAATTGAGGCAGTAACAAAAAATGCATCCACTAAGAAAGCCAAGGATTCAATGGATTTACTACTGAACTGTACAAGAACTTCAAGAAAGATCTAATGCCAATAATCCTCAAACTCTATAGTGAAGAGGAAAGGGAAGAAGTACTCCCAAAGTCATTCCTGAAAGTTACCATTACAATGCAACAAAAACCAGACAATGGCCCAACCCCAAATGAGAACTGTTGGCCAACTTCTTTCATGAACATAGATGCACAAATTTTTAACACGACACTGGCAAACAATGCAACAAAACATCAAAAAGAACATACATCATGGCCAAGCAGGGTTCATCACAGGGAGGCATGGATGGGTCAACATAATACAAATGAATAAATATCTCACATAAACAGAAGGACAAAACTCAGATGATCATCTCAATACATACAGAAAAAAAGCCTTTGAAAAAATCCAACATCCATTCATGATAAAACTCCCTAAATAAAATAGGTACAGAAGGACTTCATCTCAATTTGATAAGAGCCATTTATAACAAGCCTACAGCCAGCATCATATCAAATGGGGAAAGCTTCAAAGCTTTCCCTCTAAAATCAAGACAAGGATGTCTACTATCACCACTCCTGTTCAATATAGTACTCAACGCATTAGGCAGAGCAGTCAGGCAAGAGAGAAGAAATAAAAAGGATATGTATAGGAAAGGAAGACGTCAAATTATCATTATTTCCAGACCACATGATCCTCTCCATAGACAATCCAAAAAGAATTCATCAAAAGACTCCTAGAATTAATAACCAAATTCAGCAGTGTAGGAGAATACCACACCAATATGCAAAAATCAAAAGTGTTGTTGTACACAAATAATGAACTCACTAATAAAGAAATTAGGAAAACAATGCCCATCTTAGTTACTATTTTCCTTACTGAGACAAAATACCTGAGAACCAAATTTAAAGGAGGAAAGGCTTATTTTAGCTCACAGTTAACAGAGGTGTCATTTCATAGCTGGCTGGATCCAAGGCCATGGCAGAGGGCCATCACAGTCAAAAAATAGTTCATGGTGGGAAGAAGGTGGGAAAGCAGCAAAGCAGCAAGCAAAGAAGAAGCAGCAGCAGCACCCTGCCTTTCCCTTTTATCCCTGCCAGGGTACTCACACGTTGAGTGGTTCCACCTACAGTGAAGGTGGACCATCCCTTTATCCACACCCAGAACTATGCCAAAACAATCAGAAGTTTAATTTAGTAATAGCATACTGTAATCTCAGCATCACACAATTTAGCCCCAGCATCACAAACTCTAGGTCCAGGCACCTCTGAAAAGCCCCACCTTTGACTGCATGAGACTTTGGGGAAACATCTAGACACAAGCCATAACAATGCCATTCATAATAACATCAAGAAAAAATAAATACTTAGGAATTAACCCAACAAAGGAAGTAAAAGGCCTCTGCAATAAGTACTATGGTATTCAGGAGATCGAAGACAACATCAGAAAGTGGAACAGTGTCTCCCATTTTTGGATAGGCAAAACTATCCAAAATGGCAAACTATCCAAACTATCAAAATGACAATACTTCCAAAACTGATATACAGATTTAATGGAATTCCAATCAAAACAAACAGCATTCCTCACAGAGAAAAGTTATAAAATTCATAGGGATACAGAAGAGACCCAAAGTAGCAAAAGCAATCCTCAGCAACAAAAGCAAAGTAGGAAGCATCACAATCTCAGGTTGTAAGTGATAATACAAAGCTACAATAATAAACCCAGCATGGTACTATCATAAAAACAGACATGTGGATCAATGGAACAGAATAGAGGATGCAGAAACAAGCTCAAACACACTGAGCTATCTGATCTATGTCAAAGGGGCCAAAAGCATACACTAGAGGAAACATAGCCTTTTTAAAAAATGGTGCTACAAACATAGGCTATTCACCTGTACACTACTAACTTGTAAACATAGCCCTCACCACATACTAAATTAAAACAGAAAACTGATCAAATATCTAAATGTTAAAACAGAAACTATCTGCTGCAATATAAAATAGGTAAAACCATTGAAGACAGGTATATGGAAGACTTTCTGAACAGAACCCCAATTACACAAGAAATAGCATTAAAAATCAACAAATGAGATCACATCACATTTTACAGCTTGTGCACAACATAGTAAACCACCAACAGAGAGAAAAGACAACTTACAAAAGGGGAAGAAGTTCTTCCAGCTATCCCACTGACAGAGGACTAATATCTGGAATATATAAAGCACTCCAAAACAATTGATTCCTCAAAATATGAGATCCAATATTAAAAAATGGCCAACTGAAATAAATAGATACTTCTCAGAACTGTGGCAAATGAATCCATGAAAAAAATGATCGCAATCTCTGGCCATCAGGGAAAGGCAAATTAAAACAACACTGAAATTCCACCTTACTCCATAAGGAACGGCAATCACCAACAAATCAAACAACAACAAATCCTGTTGTGTAGGTATATCAAATCGCCATGAGGAATGTAGTGATTATGAACTGCCAACATGTACTGATAGAAATTAAAATTTAACATAAAAAAGACACACCTCTATTTATATTACTCATCTTAGTATAAACCACCTATAGTTTTCCCATTGTCCCCAAATGCCTTAGCCTGCCTACAGGGCCCTTCATAATGTGATCAGAACTTACCTTTCTAGCTTCGTCTTTTGGAGTCCTTACCTCTATGCTCCTGTCTTACCAAATTATTTTCTGTTACCAAATAAATAAGTGGGAATACAACTTATAGCCCCAAACTAGTACACACTTAAGAGTGAATAGAGCAGTATGAATAATTATATCAAGATAATAGGTCCCATCTTTCAATCTTTCACTCTTCTTGGCAAACCAGGACCCTACAAATAAACTGTTTCCTCCACACCTGTGTGTCTTTAACTTCCATAGAAGTATACCTGAAAATCTCCTACTTCTTTACTTTATCTATCAAACTCGCATTCACACTAACGTTCTAGTTCAAATACTATTTCCTCCTTTAAATATATACCCCAAGCAGAGTGCTCTACGTATTCTAACATACTTGTCTATCTCTTGCATCTGACCATGAATTTCTTAAGGACAAAAACTTCAATGGATTCATCTTTTTCTACCTCCCGTGCATTCCAGAGTGTCTGGCAGAAATGATGTTCAGAATACTCAGTGAGCACACATTCAGCTGAGTGGCAAAGTCATACACGTTTGATAAATTCAAAAACTGCAGCACAGAGCATCATACAGCATGAAGCAGTGGTGCTGAACTATGGGAAATTTTGCCTCCTGGGGAACACTTGGCAATACATGGAGACAATTTAGGTTGTTACACCTAGGAGTGTTATTAAAATAGACAGGCCAGGATACTGCTAAACATACTATCATGCACAGTACTGTCCCATCAAACAATTATCCAGGCTGATATTTCATTGAGATTGAAAAACTGCAATGAAAAGTTGAAGATAAAAACCTGACAAGTAAGAGAATAGTATACCTTAAGTATCAAAATTCAATTGCTCTATCAAAAGTATCAAAATTAAGTATATTTAATATACCTTAAGTATCAAAATTCAATTGCTCTATCAAAAGTATCAAAATTCAATTGCTCTAAGAGGAGAAAAGCATGATAATATCGCTGTTGAAGTGTTATCCTGTCGGCACTGGTAACCTCTGGGTGTGTTTCTTCTGTCTACTCTCAAGTAAAATAACTCTGGGCTGGGACTGAAATCACAATTTTTAGGGGCACTGGGTCACAGTTCAAAAGTAAAATCAAATAGGACATACAGGTTTGCATGTTATTTATGAAGTAGAAAATTCTGAATCTTTTGTAACACTCAGTGACTGGATGAGTTAAACTATTTCCCTAGTTGAGCAAAGATCAACAAATACTGTCTTGCCCACTGAAATCATAATGGTCCTTCAGTGCAAACACGTGATCCTAAAGAAGAGAACAGTATAGAGTGGGTAGTGGTAGAAGTATAAGTTTTGGCATTACACACCCCAAAATTTAATCATAGCTTGCCATATGTTAATTGGATGACTTTCACATGGTGGCCTCTCTGGGCCTAAGTTTGTGTCATGTGTAAAATGGGTATATGGCGGAATCAAAGATTAATTGAGACTGCGTTTTTAAGCACTCAACTCCATGCCAGAAATACAATAGGTATGATAAATATTTTTCTGCCTCCTTTTTGTCCCAGTCATCAGAAGAAATAAAGAAAATTAACAATAATCATTTTAAATCTCAGAGAAAACCTTAGGTCTTATCACTCTGTCATTTGAAAGACAAACCCTTAAGTTCTCCTCAACTTTCCTTCTTTTTTGTATTTATTATTCTTACCCTGCTTTCCATGTAGTTCTAGCTTTAAGGCTCTATAAATGGTATGGGTACCCAACATTTACAAAGGTCCCAGCCTAGTGTAACCCCATGTACCCCCAAGTGCCCACACACATTTCTCTTGGGTATAAAGATAGCCCTCAATGGTTGGCTGTCCTGGAAGTTTGCACGTCTGGGGCGCTTCTTTCATCCTTTTCTTAAGTTCTTCCATCTCTTCCCGGGTACTGGAGAAATGATTTCTTGTCTGTGAAGACACCAGTATTGCAATCATTATCATCATTTAATCACCATGAAGTATTTATTTCAATGTTGTATAAAATTTTCTCTTCTTCTATTATGTGCTACAACACAAAGAAATACATAAATACATGAACATATGCATGCTGAATAGTATAGTGACCAGAAAATAATTTTATAGAGTTTAATGATAGTAATTAGTACTAATTTTATATTGAATGGTACTAACTAGTTGAATGGTACTAACTAGAAGAGAAACAAAAATATAAATAGCAGTATAGGCATAAAGGGCTGGAGATATTGCTCAGTGGCACAGTGCCTGCCTGGCAAGTACAAAGTTTGATTCCAAGTACCAAAAAAGAAATTTATATATATATATATATATTCATAAAACCACACATGGGAGATAGTTTTCCAATGAGAATCATGTAATGCTCCAACAAATAAAGAAGATTAAAATTCTGAGTACCAGACTGACTCTTGTACAACAGTGAGATTGCATCTTCCTAAAGATACCATTATCATGGCAGTTTCTATGTTCTTCAAATACAATTACTCTTTACCTCACCTTGAAACAAGTTCTGGCCACAAGGATAAGATATGTGTGAGCACGCGGTTTGTAAGCATGCTAACAGAACTGAGTCTCAAGACCATACAGATCAAAAAAAAAAAAGTGATCTGCACTTGCTATGATCTTGCAAATGAGGCGGCCATCCGTAAACACAGAAAGACATGCTTGTTGTCATGCGTATTTGTCAAGTTATATACGGAAGAAGGTTCAAGTGATTAACTTGGTTGTAAGGAAGATTCTGTAAATCAGCAGAAGGCCGAGGCTCTCAGACTTGCGGGAATAGGACTACCCAGAAAGAAGGCAAGTACACATAAACAAAAAAACAATAAAAACAAAAAAAAAATAAAACTTCTAATAATAATCCTCCTAAACAAGAAAAAGCTTATTTCCACTATGACTTTTTAGCATTTTTCAACTAGAAATACCTCTCTAAATTTCAGACAATGGAATATCCAGTCCCATGTCACCTGACCTCAGTAATGCCTTCTCTCTGAGTCTAGCGGGCAGCCAACAGCTGCAATCTCTGTGCTTCTTTAAAAATTTTGGTCTTGGGGCTGGGGATTTAGCTCAGCGGCAAAAGCACCTGCCTGGCAAGTGCAAGGTCGTGAGTTCGGTTCCCAGTACCGGAGAAAAACCAAAAAAAAATTTTGGTCTTGATTCTATTGCAGCACTTATCAAAAGGATTACGATTTATGTGTTTGTCTCCTCCAATAAATTGTGTGTTTCTTTAAAACATAACCACTTTCATGCCTCATTACGACATGCCTGGTGCCTGTCACAATTCCGAGCATGGAGCATATGCTCACTGTACCCATAAACAGTCATTAAATGTGGGATGCATAAGTGCATAAGCAAAAGAATGTAGTGACATCATACTTGTCCCAATATACAGAAATGCTGTGCCCACTGCCTTTCTATAAGAACCAGAATGGGAAAAAGATAAAGCCTTTCAAAATAATTTATTTAGCACTAGTAATAAGTATTAAAAACAACAAAGACAAGACAAAATTGTTATTTACAGTAATGAAACCCATGGTGAGAATACCTTGGCTGACCGACCAAGAAAGTAACGTAAGACCTAAGTAAGTCTATGGTTGGATTCTGATGTGGGAGAGATGCAGCACACTAGCAACACTTAATAAATACTGGTTAGACTGATGTATTATTGGTCAGCCTAAAAGAGGGAAATGTTAAAAGGTGAAGAGCAAGTACAGTCTAGTACACTAACATATTTGTGACTCATACCAGTATGTCCTGATAAACTGCAATAACCCAGAATTTCAAGTTTAAGACCACAGAGGTTAAAATTCAATTGGATACACAGGTGACAAAACCCACAAGCAGGGCTGGGATAAAGCTCAGCATTATAGTGCCTGCCTAGTAAGTGCAAGGCCCTGAGTTCAATTCCTGATAACAAAACAAAACAAAACAAAAAAACCCACATGCAACTCACATTCTGCAAACTGAGCTGGAGCTGCTGTTTGTATGGGAGGAAATCCTGTGTGAGCTCCACAGTCAAGCTGTTGGAAATGAAGAGGCTATGAAGAAAGGCCAAGACCTAAGGAAAACATGCAAAAATAATTTTATCACCAGCACCTTCTAATTATTCAAGTAAAGGAACCATGAACTTAGACGAAAATCTCTACAGTGATTACTCAGCATAAAGTTAAAAGGAGTCATGTAAATACAGATCTACAAACACTATTTGCATATCAGTTTAAACTTTAACACTGGCCTCAGTTTGAGAAAGAAGTAACAAATTTATTCATCTAGATCTTCAGATTGCATACATAGCCATTAATAATTTGGAGGGTATGGGAATGGACTATAGTCTCGCTATAAAGGATGAGTATCTGTAATTCAAAAATCTGAACTCCAAACTGCTACAAAATCTGAAACTTTTTGAGTATCAACATGATGCCACAAATGGAAAGTTCCATGCCTGACCTCATATAGGTCTCAGTCAAACACAGGCATAGTAAAAATATTGTATAAATTACCTTGAGGCTACAAGGTATAGGAAACAAAAATAAATTTTTATTTAGACTTAAGTCTTATCCTCAAGGTATTTTATTATGTATGTGCAAATACTCTAAAATAAAAAATTCCAAATACTTCCATTCAAGCATTTCAAATAAGATATAAGGAACCTGTACATCCTCAGTTTTGTTACACAGTAGCTGCTCAACAAATATTTGTGGAACAAATGACTAGCAAAGAGAAGATAAAGGAGTCTGAACCAATTTTCAAATTAGAAATGTTTTAGGGGGTTTCCAAACAAGAGATACAAATGATTAACAATGTATTTCTAAATGTTCAATCCCATCAACAAGAAAGCATGCATAAATAAAACCAAAACAAAATGATTTGGATACATCAAATTATAAATACCTTATTATAAATATTCCATTTTGAAAAAGTATATAAATGGTAGTAAAAGTTATACCATTCTTTTCAGAAAGCAAATATGTGACCACATATATAGTATGATTAAAATAAATACAGTGAATGTTTATTTTTTAAATTATGACAGTAAAAGACATATTGCCATTAATAACCCTCAAAATACTCTACTTTGCACACACTTATGCCACTGTTCTTGCAACTTTCTAAGTAGTTCTGGGAGTTCTCTTTCTTGAGCGTCTTTACAAAATACAGTGACTATCACTGCCAAGGGCCATCCAATGGAAAGGCAGGTTTGTGAAGCTGTTACAGTGTGTCCTCATCCATATCATTCACCAGATCTGGCACCGTGTAACTTGTGGCTCTTCCCCATCATCAAAATAACCATGAAAGGTAAAGGTTTTGAATCCATTCAGCATATCAAAGCAACCTTGATATGCAGCACAGCACAACTAAAGATGCTCACAAAAAGAGGACTTCCAAAACGGTTTCAAAAAGTGGTAATGATAGGATAAATGTGTTCAAAGTGAGGGCAGGTATTCTGAGGGGAATTAATGGCAATGTGCTTTTTACTTTAATTTTTTAGAATTTCAACATTTTACCACACTTTGTATAAACATGCATGTCGAGTGTATGTACAAAATATATACACAAATACATACAAAAGTACATAATGTTCACACGAATGTACATTTATTACACAAGTGAAGATATGTATACTGTACTCACACTTATATACAATGCTTCCTGTTTCTCTCCCAGAGAAATTATATCTCAGAATATTACATCTCAGGAAATTATAGCTCTATCTGTCATTAAAAGCCAGAAACTAAAGAATCATCCCTAACTTCTCTTTCATTCATACTTTGGTCCATTTCATCAGTAATTTCTGTTAGTCTTGCTTCCAAAATAAATCTCTAATCCAGCCTTACTTCACTGTTTCCTCTACCACTACCCTAATTCAAGCCATTATCTCCTCTTGCCTTGATCACTGCAGGTGCCCCAAACAGGCTTCCTCACTTATACTCTCCAGCGCTATGAAGCCATTCTCCACATAATAGATTGACCCATATTAGGTCTTTCAGTAGTTTTTCACTGCACTTAGACTATAATCCAAACATCACACCCACCAGTCCTGTGCCTTCCTACCAAGAACTTACCTCCAGGCATTCTTTCCTTTCACCAGTATCTAAACACATGAATTATCTTTGCATTCCTTTAGCACACAATCATTCCTAACTTATGTTTTTGCACTTGTGTTTTTATGTGTCTGAATATTCTTTTCCTACTACTCCCAGGGCTACATCTTCTCTTCCTTTAGATCTTTTTTAAATTTATTATTATTATTCTCTTTGAGATAAGGTCTTGGTATATAGTTCAGGCTGGCCTTGAACTCACTACATAGCCCAGACTGCCCTCGAACTGGCATGAACCCCCATGCCAGGCAATAAAGGGTTTTTTTAAGGGGCTTTGGGAGAGGGGAACTTTTTATTTTCCTTTTTCCTTTTTGGTACCAAGAATCAAACTGAGGGCCTCACGCTTGCCATGGCAGGTGCTGCACCACTGCACTACATCGCCACCTCCGTTTAGATCTCATCTTAAGTGGCATTTTCAGAGGTCTTCCTTGACAACTTCACTTAAAGTAGCTTCTAGAGCTTTGTGGCCTCCTCTGTCACACAACTTGCCATTATGTTAATTTGCTAATCCTTTTCTTTCTGCCTACCCCATGAAAGTACAGTCTTCATAAAGAAACAGTCTTTTGTGTTCATTATAATATAACCAGTGTCTAGCACAGTGCCTAGAATATAACAAAAGCTTAATAAATGCTGAGTAATGAGGAAATACTTGTCGGTACATATACATATACAGATTTATACAAATATGAGCATGGATACACATGTGTGCAAAGATATACATACACATGTGCTATCTATAAACATGCACACATGTGTACATACATCCACACCTATAAGTACACATGCACACAGACAAAGGAAGTGATATGATATACACAGAAAATTTGGAAGTAAAAGTGCTATGTTAGCAGTGATTATTTCTATCTAAGGGATCTCTTGTTTCTGGATTGTCTAATCTTTGCATTTTTTTCTAACATTTCCACAATTTGGGCAGTTTTCATAATAAGAAAGGTTATGAATAACTGTCAAACCAAAGCATGTTACCTTTTGTAATAAGATAAAGAGACTGAATAGAAAACAATTATACACAATAGAAATTTTTAAAATAGACTATAAAGTCTCTGAGTGCAAGGGACATGGGTTCTTAGCACGGGACCTACAATAGGTTAGGTACTTTCAAAAGCTTTCTGAAAGCATGAAAGGAAAGGAGAAGAACCAGGTAATAGGAGGAGTGGCACAGGAATTGAAGGAGGGTCAGAAGGATAAAGGGAGAAAAGAGGAAGAGAGAAAATGAAAGAAAGGAGGAGAGAGGGAGGGAGAGAGGGAGAGAGGATATACTAGTGACAGAGCAAGAAAAACACACATTAGTGTGACCTATATCCTTGACACTCATGACTGAGCACTGACGGTCCATTGTATTCACTGAGATTCCAATTTTATAATCAAAGCTCTGCACATTCACCTAGAATTTGAGAAATATTTTTACACCCTTCATCACACAGAGAACTTACTGGCTCCACAATATTGAACTTCTTGGACTCTTGAACTTCTTGGATTTGATAAACATAATCAAGGGAAGACTCGAAGAAATTGTGTCTCTCTTTGTCCACCTGGAGGTCTGCCTGTAGAAGAAGAGCAACAAATGTCACAAACATGCATAGTCATTTCTGAAAGCCAGTGGTTATAGACTCAACCAGGTTCTGGAATTAAAGAAGCACTTAGCCACAACTAGTATACTATCCCTTTATTTTATGCAGAAGAAATATGGAGATTACAAGTGACTGACGCAGGCTTCCAGTTTGTAGTCCAACATGTAAGAAGCTAGGAAGTCATCACACTCATTCTCATGATAAAAAAAAATGTCAACAAGTGATAATTCTTCTTAGAACCCACAGAGAACTGAAGTCAGAGAGGAAAATGATGCTTCAAAGAGTGAATGGAAGTGAACATAGAAAACCAGAGGTTACCCGAGGTTACCAGAGCACAAGCCTGGGAGCCAAAGCCTGCTGCTGCAGCCAACACAAAAGGACATTACAACAGCAAGAATGGCCACCATGGAGTATTTAAACAGCCATTGCTAAGGAAATCCAACTACAAAACAAGGATGCCAGAGAAAATCTTAGCGTCTGACTACAGCAACAGCAAATTAAGTACAGCCAAAGTCCTGGCCAGATAAACACAAAACCTCACCCTGAAGACCTATTTATCTCAGTTTCTTAACCCAAAATATATCTAGTTTTTCAACAAAAAAAATGTTAAAAAACAAAAACACATTCTGAAAAAAATGAACAAGCATCAGAAACAAACTCAGATAATGTAAAAATTGTGGAATTATAAGAACATGAAATTAAAATAATTAAGATAAATATAAGGGCTCTAATGGAAGAAGAGGATAATATTTAACAACAGATAGGTAACATAAGCAGACAGATGAAAACTTGAAGAAAGGATTCAAAGAAAATGCTACAAATATTAAAACATTGTAGCACAAAGTAAAACCTTAATGGGTTCATCAGTAGATTGGACAAAGCTGAAGAAAGAATCAGTGAGCTCAGGGGTATGGCTCACTGATAGAGCACTTGCCTACTATGTGTGAGACACTGGCTTCCACACCTGACATTAACAAAAAGTCAGTAAGCTTGAAAGTGTGTAAATATAAAATTGAAAAATTGAAATTCACAAAAAAATAATTTAAAAAAAACCACATGAAATAAAAATCCAAGAACTATAGTAGGGTAATTGCCAAAGGTATCACGTATGCATATTCACATAAAACAAGGAGAAAAAAAGAAATCCCTTCAAACAGTTAAAAAGTAAATTACATGATCGAGTGTGGATCACCAAGGAAGTCTTAAAAGAAATTCTAAAATATTTTGAGTTAAATGAAAATGAAAGTTAACTTAGTATTTGTGGGATGCAGCTAAAGCAATGCTTGGAAGAATATTTAGATCACTGAATATACAAATTAAAACACAACAAAGACCAATTAATAATCTAAGAAGATTAAAAATGGCAGACTAAAGACAAGTAGCAAAATACACCTTCTCTGGTACCTGGCCTCAAGTCATCTGGAAAAAAAAGAACTCAGTGAAGAAAAAAAAAGGAGTAAAAAAGGAGTAGATCTCTAGGAATCAGGAGAGAACTGACAGAAAATTTAGAAACTACAGAAAAGTTGGAGAAATAGAACACATTGAATTAAAAAGAATGAAGCAATCTGGAAAGGTCACCCCACTTCCAGGGAGGGGTACATGTCTCTATTTAAACAAGATAAACCTGGAAGAAACAACAGACTAGGCAAGCAGTTATCCCTGAAAAAGCCCTTGGTTATTGTAAATGCAAAACAGCATGGGGTTTTACTCTGAAAGTGACTCACTCCACACAGCAACCTAGAGTTGGAGAAGAAATCCATTTGAGAATGTTTAACCAGGAGCCATTTTGAGAAGGTGTTAATTGTTTAAGACAGAGTTACAGAACAACTACACTTCAGGGTTTGTGGGGTCACCCTACCACAGGGACTCGGTGAAAGACAGCTACAAGTGACAGTAGCAGAAAGGGTGCTGGCTAGACAGAGACACACCAAAAAGTTTAGGCCAAGAAGGACACTGGGTTCCAAGCTGAGTAGAGAAACCAGGCCCCTGGAAACAATCCATTCTCCTCCTCCTCATCCCCTACATCTTTACCAGTGCTACTATTAAGCTTCATTAATCTCTAGACATACATAGTACAGCAGTTGATTTTATGCTATTAGCATTTTAATCTTTTCAATTATAAAAGACACTTTCGTTGCATGTATTACATATTAACTGCATGTCAATTTGTGGTTTGTATTTCTGTCTGAATTATAATTATACTTATTGTTAAGGGTAGCAAAGTGGTAGCTTTTATTGGTTTTTATGCTATATAAATATCTACTTTGTCTTTGATTCTATTATTGATGCGAACTTGATTGCTATTGCTAGGGTGGAACAGTTGTTGCTATGCATTAGTTTGTTGTTTTTTGTTTTTTTTTTTTCATTTTGGTTTTTTGGTTTTTCTCTGGTACCGGGAACCGAACTCACGACCTTGCGCTTGCCAGGCAGGCGCTTTTGCCGCTGAGCTAAATCCCCAGCCCCCGCATTAGTTTTTACTATCTACCATTACCCGGTTTATCTGTGTCATCAACAATACCATGGTTCATTATCCTGATAACCATGTGCTTGGCCAATTATACTGCACCGTCTCCTCCTCAGAGTAATGGAGGCAGTCACATTTTCAGACACAAAGGCCTGTAGTTAGCTGTGCCCACAGTGCATCATTGGAAAGAAGACACTAACTACAAATATCTTTCTACTCCCTGCGCACGCCCTGAGCCGGGTGAGCGAGTGCTCCAAGAGCTGCTAGTCCCACGATTCCAGTCCGTGCTTTACTCACACCTCTACTGTTCCCAGCTGAAACTCCAGGAGAGAGCCAGGTATTTCCCATCTACTTCATAAGAGCAGAGCAGGTGACCAAGGACCCGACCGCCATTACAGACTGAGTCTCTGCCCTCTCTGTGCCCCCAGCAGACAGGACGTCCTCATTCAGAAGCCCCACAGGCTTCTCTAGCTAGGGGCGGCACATGTGACCTTTCCCTGCGCACCCGATGTGCCGAGTTAGTGAATGCTCTAAGAGCTGCTGCTCCAGCAGTTCGAGTCCCTGCTTTACTTTCACCCAGATCCCCTAGGGGGACGAAGGCACGGGCACTCTGTGATTGCTCTCCATCCGGCCTGCATCTGGTTCAAGTATTTGTGTCCTGAACGGACTGGAGACACAGAATCAGGTAGTTCACAAACTGTCGACCCTGCAGTTTGTGTCTGGGTTTTGCCTGTACCCTGAACTGCCTGGGGACAAAGGTCCACTGGAACGGGATTGTCACACCAGTGCAACCAGAGTCTGGGCCGTGCATGAGTCCTGAACTGCAAGGTGACGCTGGATCAGATGGTTGGCCATCAGCTGACACCAATGCCCCCGTCAGAGATCAGGGATAACTAGATAAAAATCAACAACTGCCGGAAAACCCGAGACTATGTAGCACATCTAAGAGGTCACTCAGGGAAAAACTAGACCAAAAGGAACACTAGGGACACTAGTGGCCTTTGCTGTGCAGCCATTGAAGAGGGAAACTGAGCTTTCTGCAACCAGTAGCAAACATGACAAAACGAAGGACTAAGACACACTCCCAGAACTCCATCCCATTCAGACCAAGTCCAGGAGACATCAACATAGGAGAACTTGGTAAACACATGCCTGAATTATCTGAAATGATTGCAATGGAAGTAAAGAAACAACTCCATAAGGCCAGAGAAGAGATGAGATCAGAAATAATCTCTCAGGCAAAAAATGAAATGACAATAATAATGAAGGAACTCCTCAAAAAGTCTGAAGAAGAAACATATAAAAAAATAGAAGAACAAATGCAAGGGACAGAAGCGTTCAATGAAAAATATAGAAAGGACGTAACGCATGAACCAGATTCAAAGAGACATCCAGGAAAACAATGCTTCCAAAGAAAGCTGCCCAAACCGCTCGAATGAAGCTGAAGATAGAATCTCAGACTCTGAAGACAGGATGGCAACTACTGACCATGAAAGAAAGGATCTTGTAAAATCAACAAGGATCCAGGAAAAGTCAATTCAACAGCTCCAGGATGAGGCAAATAGGAATAATGTACGACTCATAGGAGTCAATGAAACAGCAAAAGGCAACACAACTGACATAAAAGA